CCACCAAAGAAGGAAGAAAAGAAGGTAAGATTAAATTACTATATTATTACATCCCTAATGAAATTTGTTTATGGTACATCTTTGCTTTTGTGACAAATAAAACATCTCATTGTTTTAACCTAAAGCACATCTAAAAAGGAAGCATTATTTTGTTGCAGATGAAAGCAGCACGAGCCAAGTTCAATTTCCAAGCTCAGTCGCCTAAGTAAGTTACATTGTTTTTAACATAGTTTTTACCTATTCATCAAACCAAATGCCTTTCTGCATTGCATTTTTATTCCCTGATACTTGTATTTCAGAATAAATAGATTAAAAACTTGTATTTGAAGCTTAATTGAATTCCATCTCCTCATTCCTTCGTTTAGGGAGCTCACATTGCAAAAAGGGGACATTGTCTACATCCACAGACAGATAGATGCCAATTGGTTTGAAGGAGAGCATCACGGGAGAGCTGGCATTTTTCCCACAACTTATGTAGAGGTAAAGGTTTCTAAAGGGATTGATTATTGTTTGTTAGAATGGCGCAGAGTTATTTAGGCTGTGTTTGCTCCACAGGTTTTGGCCCCCACTGAGAAACCTACACCCATAAAATCACCCACATTACAGGTGTTGGAGTATGGAGAGGCTGTGGCTCTATATAACTTCAATGCAGACTTACCTGTTGAACTGTCATTTCGTAAGGTGAGTAAAACATCTGTTTGTTTTTTTTAAATCTGTGGCAATGTTGCTAACTTTGCTACCATTTTATTGCATTTTTAGTTTTGGAAAATATTGACTAACTATTAGCAAAGGTTATGTTCCAATCAATAATTATGCATTTTTCACTACTTGGGTCCGATAATATCCAACATTGTAGCATTGCGAAATACAAGCTTCATCCACAAGGGGGCAGTAATTAAACTCCAGTGGTCCTGGGGCCTATTGTCCTTTGATATCTGGATTTCATAAATACCAGTGCTATTTTGTAAATGTACTTTAATCAGTGTGTAAACTCAGAAGACAGGAATCACCCCATATGCAGCATGTTACCAGTGGTGGAAGAAGTATTCACTTTTGTTACTTAACTAAAAGTACAGATATTGGAACGAAAAATAAGTAAAAATATCATATGAAAAAATACTTAAGGAGTACTTAGTACTTAGTACTTAAGGAAAAATAGTCAGGTGTAAAAATGTACTTAAAGTACTAAATAAGTATTTTGCGCAGATTTTGAGATCTAATGAGGCTTCAAATGTAATGATTTTGATGAAGATTTGTGCTGAATTTTGTTCAGCAGAAACAGTTGAAGAGTAGAATAGAGTTGGGTTTTTTTTCTGTTTTTGTTTGCTCAAACTATGAACATGTTAAAAATAAACCCCTAGCCTTTACAGCAGGTCTCTTTTGTAAAAAATACTTTAACTTTTCAGTTTTCTTCAAAATGTAGTGGAATAGAAAGTATAGATATCTGCTCTCAAATGTAGTGAAGTAAAAGTAAAACTATCTATTTTAAAATCTACTAAAAATTGCGTTGTGCAACTTTTCTGGTGGAGGGTCCGTTACCTGCTTGTTTCTATGTCATTACTCTGTCTCGAATGTTCCACACTGTGACATTATACAGCTCTATTTTCCATGTATATAATTGTATAATATTTATATAATTAATTGTATAACATATAACATTTATATAATAGCATTTGGTTTTATAATTCAAAAATACCTTGAAAAACAGGCATTCTGACTGTGAGAGGGGTCCCCTCACCACAGATCTGACCTGTAACTTGGTCTGGTTTTAGTCTCCATGAAGATAGAAAGGTTTAATACCATACTGTAAAACATTCCAGACAAAGCAATAACATCTTCATGTAGAAAAGTATTTGATGAACCTTCCACCAGAAAAATTACACAATTCATAGTACTTTAGTACTTTTACTTTGTGATGTTTCACAGGATATTACACATCTCCACCTGTTTTCTTATATGTTTTAGGGTGAAATTATCGATGTAACGCGCTGTGTGGATGACAAGTGGCTAGAGGGAAGGATCTCGGGAACTAACCGGAGTGGTATTTTCCCGGCCAGTTACGTCCAGGTCAACAAGATGCCCCGCACCAAATACAGCACAGACGACCTCTGCTCTGTGCCCATGTCCCCCCTCTCACCGGGACCTCAGAGCCCAGGCCGCCCTCTTTACTCCCCAAGATCCCCCTTCTCACCCTTTACACCCAACTCTTTAAGTCCAAAACCAGTTCACTCCCCTTTGAGACAAACTTCACCTGTCAGCTTCGGAAGCCCACAGTCACCACGCTCCCCTTCGCAAACGCCTGTTCCCAAAGAACCATATAGGTGGCCAAATAGCAGCTTGAGAACAGCATCACCAACTGGACCAAATGGCCAATGGACACAAAACCACAGCTCCACTACTCGAGCTGTCCCACCTTCCACTCAGTCGTCTTTGTCTGTACACAGAGCTCCAACCTCACCAGCTTCAAACACTCCCAGGCACTTTGAGCATTCACAGGTCTGCTTTCACTGCCTCCTGGAAATTTAAGCATGTCTTCACTAGTGCTGCTGCTGCTTGTGATAACAGGAATTGATTTTGTTCTCAATTTTTTATGATATTTGACGTATCCCTGTTTTAATCTTTCTAGGGGGGGACAATAACTCATACAGCACCCAACAGCTTACAATCACATATGCCAAAAAATGATACGACCTCCTCTGCAGTGCAACGTCAACCGTACGTCCTCACATTTTTACATATAGACTCAGTGATAGGTTAAGTTATTATTTAGCTTAAGTCCTTGCTCAATATTGTTTTATTTTCTTCATAGGTATAAAGCTGTTTACAACTACAAACCACAGAATTCAGACGAGCTGGAGCTTAGAGAGGGAGACATTGTGCAAGTGATGGAGAAATGTGATGACGGCTGGTTTGTAGGTACGTAAAGAATGTTTATTCACTCAAAATAGTACAGAATTACAGATAATAGCATTATTTGAAGACTTCATGTATGAATGAAAAATGAAGCTGTTTATAGTCCCAGACAAAATATAATACATACATATAAATATAATGATCTATGTTATAATGTTGTTTTCTCATCAAAGACATACCTGCAGTTGTGCTTTGTTTCCTTCATACACGTTTAACACACAAACCCTGCACATTTAGGGTCAGTTCTTCTCTTAAACAGAACACACTTTGTTCCACCTTGTGATGCCATGTGGTAATACAGGAAGTGCTCCACTGTGTTTTTGAACTTTAACAGACACATTCACTAGAATCATGTGCATCATTTCAGCCCTGGAATTGCCCATCTCTACTGAACTAAAGATAAAAAGTACCTTTTAATCTGAAAACTACCAGTATATGACAGTGCAAGGTGATGAGCATTTTGAGCTTAGACAGATTAATAATAAAGGTGAAACATAAAACATAAAACACAATTCCAGGTATTTTTTGAGGAGATAACAACATTATAACAGGGCTTAAAGTTTACAAGTGTCATTTTTGCATACCCCCAAGATTAAATAAATATCAGTAGTGTGCGTCACTATCCTGTGCTAGTATATGTAGTATTGTATGTGCAAGTACTCCATCTAGTGGACAACATTGTCCATTCCAACTATTGCTTTTGCCACTAATTTCTGTCATCATTACTTGTTTGTCTTTGTAGGTACGTCAGATCGAACTCATGCTTTTGGGACATTTCCAGGAAACTATGTAGCTCCAGTGTAACCGCCTCACCTCCATCTGGACTCTCTGTTTATCACTTCACCTCACAGCGACTGCTCCTCTCAGCCTGCCTTGCATGTTGCACTTATTACAAGGGCACTGTGTGGTTTCCTACAGGCCACTTTCACGCATTGAAACACATGCTGGAGTTTTTTTACACCCATAATTTAAAGGAAAAAATGAATAATGATAATGGCACTGAAGCAAAATCAAAGAATGAAGCATTTTGTTCCACAAGTATTTGCAGCTGCAGGAAAATGGCATTCCTTCCCACTGAACAGCACTGCCATCTCCAACTGTGTGATGTTGCCATGACACCATCACAGACCACTGCTGTAACTTTTAGGTTTGGTTGACATATTTTGTTGTGCTTTTTCTTCAATTGTGTCCATACTTGCTTTTAGATCTCTGAGAAAACCCCTGTGGCGATTGTGGGAACCAACTTCTGTGCCCTAAGAAGAGGGCATTTTATATCAAGATAAGTTTAGCCTTATAATTGTGTAAACCAATATCTAGTATACAACTTATAAGGTTTAAATTTAATAAGGTTTAAACAGCTTCAGTTGTAAAATGTATTGATTTGGTGCTCTGAAAGAAAATAATGGAAAGTGCTAAATGTGTTTTTAAATTGTGTCAACAGTGTTAAGTTGCCTATCAATATTATATGTCTAATAAAGGCCTGTACTGATAATTCCCTCCACTTAACAAAAGCTATTGCTGCCACTGCTGCTTTTTTACACTAGTGTACCAATGATAAGTATTGCATTTAATACAAAAGAAAGAAATCACCTAAAAGCATTTCTATTTTGGAAAAAAAAATATTGTATTAAAAGTTGGTAAAGATTGATGTACATTTGTAACATTTGATCAAACTGAAAGTATAATATATTTGCTTACAAAGCTATGTATTTTGAGTGTATGGTACGCTTTTGAAGGCAAATAAACATATTTAGTGTTATACATCTACTGTGCAGTTTTGTTTAGTGATATTTTGCTTGTGTCGAATAAATTAGTTTCAAATATCCCATCTACCATTACTATTTTGTGATAATACAAAAACATGAAAAAAGTAAACTGCAACGCTGCATTGCAATTGCATGGTGTTTGTTGAAGTGTTTTAAATATCCAATTTGCCTGGACGTTTACATTCCTTGCACTGAACTGAGATTGTTTTATATTATACAAAATACATTATAGTAAATATCATCCTGTAGGCCAGCAACTCTGATAAAAAAGTCTACTCATTTGTCTAATGTCTAAATAGGCCAATATTTCTCAAGGCTTTCTGGAAAGTAGTAATCTTCAGTTTTCAAGACATTTGAGATGTCTCGAGGTGATCTCCCCTCATCTCTCTCCTCCTCTTGACACCTGTCCAAAGCTACGTCACAAATGACTGCAGCGGCTCTTCTCTGCCAGCAGGTGGCGCGCTGGGCCTTGATGCTGTGTCTGGGTGTTTTGAGGTTAAATAGCAGCGTGCTCAATTATCACTGCTGCCCTTGCTCCAGCCTCTCTGACGTGACACGCCCCGGGCTTGTACCTTTGTAAAACTGTTATTTTGGTCACCGCACATGGCAAGTTGAGCTCATCTGTGAAGCGCAGAGGAGCAGCCACAAGTGGTGAACCAGATTCTGCTAGATCAGGGACTACAAGCCCCTCATCACGCCCACTACAACGCTGACATAGCTGCTGGAGAGAGCTAGTACATATATAACAAGGCTGTTTTCTTGTGCTTGTTGTTTGTGGCGTTTGTCTTTGCCCCGGGGTGAGCCGCGCTGGGACCTGCTGCTGCTGCTGTAGTCTACTGGGTGTGTGAAGAAGTTTGGTGGGGAAGCTCACACGTTCAGCAGGTGGAGAGGGCGACGCAGATAATTGCATCTTAACAGGACGATATCCGGTAAGTTTAATGATGAAATGCCATTTTACTAACCGATAACGTGTATGCTTATGTATTAGTAAAAGTTAGGCATATGCTTTGTTTTGATAAAGACATAAAGGAGAGTGTGTGTGGGAATGCACTGGAGCGTTGTTAAAGTCAGATTGATGTCGGCTCAGTGAGAAGTTAGAATTCATGAGTGGTTTAATGAAGCATAATAGTTCAAGTGGAAAGTGAAGACATTTACAAAAAGTAGGTGATGAGTTGAAACACAAGCCCACACAAGGAGCCTCTGTGTTCGAGACAGGGAAAGGTTGACTCTCTCACTGTAAGCAGTCAAAAGTGATTTGTGGTAAAGGTTGGACCAGGTGCAACCCCAGGAAAGTAAAAGTTTGTGTTTAAGTATCATTAAGTCAACTGGTAAATTCTCTCAACCTGAAGAATGAAGTATAGGTCTGAAATGTGAACGAGCAACAGGACAAAAACAAGCTAAAATATCATTGCTTTTGCCAAATGGAACATGGCCAGAAATATCTTTGCTATCTCTTGTATGAATACAGTGAAAGACCTTTTTAAAAGCAGTTGGTTAGTTGCAAATATACAGTATATTTTATTGTATTTGCCTAAAATTTTACTTGCCTTAATATTTTCTACAAGCACCTTCATGATGTCTTTTCTATTCAGTCATAAAAAAAACCAAAGGTATGATGTCTAGCCACTTTCAAAGACTTGGGATGCTGCTGATCTATTCCAACTTTGCACATTCTTCTGAAAAAATAACAATTTTACAGTCTTCTATTTGAGTTCCCAAATAATATGTTACGTTTGTGTTTCATTTTTGTTTGGTTTTATTACAGAGAGCTCTTTCTATTGTTACATAATTTGAAACTTGTGCAGGAAGTCAGTTTGAATGTGTGGTTTGAGTCTGAGAAAGAGAAATTGGAACCACTGTCTTTTGAAATGACAAGGTTTTCAATTGTGTTAATCGATTTATCGGTTTATAGATATATGTATTGTAATATAATAAGATTTGTGTTGTTTAAATGTTATGTTATATAACAAGGAATCACAGCGCTGAATTTTAATGTGTGAAAACTCATAATGTTTGAAGAGGATGTGGTGAACTGACTCATTTGCTGTGCAGTATTTAAAGTTCAGTATTAAAATACAAAACATGATCTCCAGATGATGATGCAGTAGCAGACCTCTGGTGCCAGTACCACAGTACCATGATGTTTTGGTACAAATGATGCCTCAGATGTAAGGATGTAACAATATCCAAATCTCTCTGTATGATATTTTCTCAATATACATCTCATGGTACAATATTTACTGCAATGGTTTCTGGAGGTTAACAGAATTGTGAATATGCTACTTTTTCCATTTAAAATGTCTTGATTGTGTCAACCAAAGAGCCTATAACAGTTATTTCTGCATGTGCTTAAATGGCACTGAAATGTAGCAAAGCATCATCTGTTTTTTGTTTTTTTTGGCTCTATTGCTGCACTGCAACTATTAATTGAAGCAGCGAGACTTGCAATTCAGTATATTGTGATGGCCCTCAATATTGTTGTGAGACATGCTGCTTCAATGAGCTAAAAGCCTTGTGAGGATATTTACTTTTGATTGCACAACAATATAAAACTAAAGGCAGTCATCAACCAACACCCTGTCGTGAAATGTATTGTTGTTGATCATTTTCCAATCTCCTTAGTGACTACAGCTAAATAGGAGTGAATAAATGGATTGCAATGTTGCTTTACTTTGTTGTAATAAGGGAGGGGCACTGTTGCGTTGATACTCTTTTGATTGGATGGGTGTGTGTGCCCAGGTATAGAACATGACCTTTGAGAGCTCTGCATGACACAGACACCAGGCATGGCTGATTCTCTGCCCGTGGAAAGTTTGCACTGGTCTTTCGCCATCAGCAAAAGCTTTGACGAGAGTGATTCATTCCAAGAATATTTCCCTCCAGCCACAATTGATCATCAGAGTTTTTCACATCAAAGCTCACATCTCAAACCCAAATGTGCTACGTCTGCTAACCCAATCACTTTATTTTCACTAATGTCTTTTATATGCTTCAGTTTTGGCTCAATGTCAAAATATTCACAGAAATAATTTGAGATTTTACACCCAAACAAGGTGGTAAAACTATGATCATTATTTTACTTCTCACCTTCTTGTAATTTAGCACGACTATTTCTACGTGTTGTTCTGACATGTGGATCCAGCCTCATGACTCAACAGGGCAAAGCACTTTACTCCACACTTTAGAAAATAACACGTATGATTTTGAACACTCATCTCAGAAGATTTGGCCTAATTTACCCTAGATTACACCTAAGTACATGTTTGGTTCAAGTGCGTAAAGAAGACCTATTATGTCATTTTGGCCTATGTAGTATTAAACTACAGTGTACATAAATCATTATTTTACATTTTGTTCTTTATAAATAGTAATATTGGTCTAAAATGGGCTTAGTTATACCGACAGGTTCAGAGCTGTAGAACTGAGAAGCCCCGCCTCTTTGAAGTGGCATTTTATCTTAACAAGGAGCAGAATTTTATGTGTTCGTTTTAATGTTGAAAAAATGCCACATGACATTTTAGAACCCTACATGTATGACCTAAAGTCTATACCTTTTGAATAATCACAAGTACAGAGCAGTGGGCAGAGATGGGGGGTAAGCGACCATTTCACATTGAACATAAATATCTGACATATTCTTAGCAGCACTCAAGTCTTGATTACATGACGATTAAATTTAAAGACGGCACTTTTTAACTTTGCGATTGTTTTCATAGACATTTTCTTGCTTTGTCTAGAACGTTTGACAGTATGGCAGTAAACCTAATCACCATGGAGACAAGCAGGTGGCACCACGTCATATCTGTGGAGAGGTGACCCAGTTCACTGTAAGAATGCCAGTTGCTCACGGCAAAAGCATCTAAAAAACTGTGATAAAATAATGCTAAATAGATAGTTTTAATAATGTCACACTGTGGAACATTTCAGGCAACAATTTATCTCCATGGACACAAGAAAAGTTACATAGGGCACTTTTAATCTAAATTCTGTTAAATCTGTGACTGGTGGTTTGGGGCTGTGACTGGCTGTAGAGAGAAGCTCAAGTTGAGTAGTCCGATGTATAACCACAAGGTGTTAAAAATACCCTGTTATTCAAAAGTGGCTGTTTGACGTGAGCACACTTGACATAATGCAGCCGTTGCATCACAGCTAACACATTTTACTACTCTTTTAAGGACCAGTTCTGCCTGTGCAAACGCAACTGATGCTCCACTGGGATGACTTCATGACTAGAATTCCAGCCATTGTTTGGGTGTGTGTTCAATTGCACTGCCAAATTGTTGTGGCTGCAAAAACAGAGAGAATTCACCAGAACAGATTCCACCTTGTATGTTTCACTGGCTGCTGCCCAAACCTTCTTTTGTTTATTTCATATAGCCATTTTCTTGAACTCTGATCAGTGATTTGTTTTCTGTGAAGAGCTGCAATCTGTAATCTTAAAACCACACCATCCACTAGCCGCTTATCCGCACCACTATTTGGAGATGTTTTTCTACATACTTTCACTGTCCTTTAGCCTTGACATTGTCCTCCTGCTTTTTATGGTGTTCACAGTGGACATTTACACAGGGGAATTAGCTGGGTGCTTGGCTAATAATGCCCATTCTATAGGGGAAACTACTGAAGCTCATAGGACTAATTGACACCACCAGAGGCTGCTCCGTGTCATTATAACGGCTTCACTTATTTCTTGAGGCCAGTGCAATTAAAAGAGTGTAGTGATAGCAAGGCGTATTCCCGCTAATTGGCCCAGACTGTTAACGAGAGCTTGTCTAAAGCACTTGTGGAATGTAGAAGATGAAAAAAATGTGTGAAAAGAAATAGTGTTTAGGCGCATTTGGACTTAAGAGATGCAGAACATGCGTGATTGTATGGTTTCATTTAGCCTAAAAATTAAGTTTTAAGGGCAATGTCTGTATTTTCATAACCCTCACACAATGTCATAAACTATACCTGTATAATTCTGTTTAAAAAGCTTAAGCTGACTGTTTAGGAAGGCTATGGAAAAGAAAAAGTGCATGAATCTACAAAAAATGTCATTGGCAAGTGGAAACAAACGAAGAGGCCCTCAGAGCTACTTCCCTAGACAGTTTGATGGATTTTTTTTTAAATCACGGAAACAGACAAAATAGGCTGACACAAACATGCTCCAGGTCTCCAGAACAGTTGATAGTTAAGGTCAGTTATATACAATCAATCAATGAATCTGCCCAGAGACGACGGGTGGAAATTAGCACTGATGCTACAACCTGATGTACAATGCATCTCTCCTGTTGAGGTTGATGTGAAAATTGTGCGCTGTCCCTGCCTCAAAATAAATTAAATAAATAAAAATAAAGACTGCTAAAACATTTTCGTTCATAAAAAGATAATTTGATCATTTGATTTTATACACATTAGGCTTACCGTAACACAAAAAAATTCTAACTCTGCTCCAAACCACAAAATGCCCCAAGCTTAATCCTGGTCCCAAAAAAGAACCACAACCAGGACTCATTCTTAATCATACCCATCACAGGAGAATAATGGTCTTTCAACGAAGCCATAATCTTTTAATATGGCAACAAATCATTAACTGATGATTTCTTTTGTTCTTTAGTTTAGTGTGTCAATTTCTTGCCATAATTCCATAAAAAAAATTTAAAGCAACATACAAAATAAATAATTATAATGGACCATTTCTGACACACAATATACAGAACTGGCATTGGACTGTTGGAAAAAATGAAGAATCTCTTTCCCTCTCAAGACTTGAAGCTACATCTAATTGTCATACAAAGAAAATAAACATTGAGACTTAAATATTTACTGAAGTATCCAATGTTATGTCTTTCTTTTGTTATAATGGAAACCTTCCCCAGCTTATTCCTATACAAGCCATTATATCTCACCGCTTACACTATACATGGACAGTTGCGCACACAATGCAGTACAATCTACACTACACTTTTGTACATGCCAAAAGAACATTTCATGAACCTACTGTCTTTGCAGGCACTTAAGCTATGTTAGTCATGTGTTTTTGGTTTCAGATTCCTCCCATTCCTATTTGATGTGGTTACACAATTCATGTCAAGGGGACTTAAGTCAGTTGTGAGTAAAACCTAGAAGTCCTGTTGGAGATATAGGAGATCTTATATAATGTTCAGGGCATTCCTCTGATAATATTAAACCTGACTAGATCAATCCCCAAACTATGCACAAGGCAATTTAGCTTTTGTGGCACAGTGGTTGGTGGTTGGTATGGCAGTGGGTAGTTAGAGTTGTGTGTGCATTTTTGCGGCTTTTGCCCTATGCCTGTTCAATTGCCAACATTGAAACCTTTGGGTTCTGGCACAATGCTCTCTTTATACTTATAAAGAATAACATTATTTTCACAATAAGTAAATACAATTTTACTCTACACCTGCAGGTTATTTTAGAGACTACATTATATTGTCTTGAAAAGAGTGTTTTTGTAATCATCATGTGGTATTGTTTGGCCATGATGATTTTTTTTAAAAAGCAATATATTGCTGAAGAAAATGTTAAATGATAATACTGGAACTAATTGATGACACTTACACAATAAACCTAAAAAAAAATATTCTAAATGTACAAAAAACATGAACTTCAGTAAAAAAGACTGAAATGCCAATTAGTTTGTATGTAAAAGTGCTCAAATTTTATGGTACTACAAACAAATGAACCAGAAATCCCCACTAGAGCAAAGAAATGGCACACGCAAATATGTAGAGCTCCAAAAAATATTGCTCCAGCTTTCTCATGATAATGAACGAATGACAAATGTTAACGAATGATAAGTCGATACAGTGATTATCGTGACCTATGTATCGGTATCTTAAAGTGTTAAACCTGTTCCTTAGTATCAATAGAATTTGACTTTTTTTTTGGTAACATAGGCCTACCTACTGCATTTCAGCTTTAATTCTTAAGGAGTTAGCAGAACATTTTGACAGGGAAATAGAAAGGAGCATGTCTAATAATGGCTGTTTGGTATTTCCCCTGGTCATCCTTGGGTGCTCATCAGTGGTGTTCCCAGTTTCTAGATTGTCCAAGCCAGGGATAGTGGCTAAACTTGACAGGTGATGTATTATCATTAGATTTAACAGACAAGCTCCTTCACTCTTGGTTTGAAAAGGTATCAGAAAGAGCTCTATATGATGAGATGGTCATAATCTTAGGGCTGAAGGCCGATCAGTGCTGTTATGTTTAACAATCTTGTCTTTGTTTTTCAGACTTTGGTGAACTTGTGTCTGGATGGCTCGCTGTGTGAAACTGACTGGCTCTGGTCCGTGGGGTTTCCGAATAAGCGGAGGCAGAGACTTCAAGAAGGCTGTAACTGTATCAAAGGTATTGTACGCTTTCATGGTCTGGTCAAACTTTGTCACACCTTATCAACTCATATCCTCTGTTTTGGACCATGCCCCGCCTGTAATGACATGCCAATGCAAAGTCAACTTCCTCATTTTCTCATAGCTTTCCTTGCCTTTGTTTGTCTGTGGGCGCAGTGTACCTTTTTCCTTGTCTACTGACTCTGTACGAATGGATGGAAGTAGATTACATTAGGAGGAAGTTAGTGATTACAGTAAAAGTGGAAGTTTGAATGGGAGGTGACAGACTTCTGCTCCAACAGGGTGTCCCACATGTGAACACTGCACCACGTGTGTAAAATAAAGTTCATCCACGTGAATGTTGTTTTGGCTGATGATATTTTCCTAAGTCGAGCTCTAAAGAAGCTGAAACAATGCCACTGTAAGCAGACAGTGTTCAGTAAACACCTCCAGGAAACTCTGCTCAGACGACCCTCTGTGTGCCAGATGCACTCTGCCCGCTGCTCATCGCTGGTGTAGACTGAATCTTATGTTCCTTTTGAACAAAGATACATTACATACAAACCTTGACAGTGTGAGCAACCTGGATTTAAAGCTTCTTACTCTTCAAAGGCATATATTGTTTGGCCTTTCTTGACACGTTTTGGCCCCCAAAACAACTCAACAATTGAAATATAGCCTCCTCCCCCTTGTCACATTTGTAACTGCTAACCAATAAACAAATCATTGTTGCTCATCTCAAATTTCAAACAGACTCTGAGGCACCCACAGAGGTAGAACATTTCTTTATAAATTTAGTCTGTTTTGTGAACTGTTCCTGTGACACTTCCATAGTCCGGTTGAGTTTGTGCTTTAAAAGGAGCAGTTTTTGGCACAGGACATGGATGCCCTCTTTTATTCCCGTTGGCCTTGGTGATGCATAATTTTGGATGGGAGGGCACACTCTAGAAAAAGAGCCCCTGAGTGCTTTTGGTTGATGTGTAACCAGGCGTGCCATGAACGAAAAAGCTCACAGTATTGTAGGGCAGCACCACAGCAACAATAATTGCCCCTCTTTGGGGCTATGCGCCTCTGTTGTCTTGACTTGGTTAAACTGACATACCATATTGACATGTTTATTAGTGATGGGACGGCTGTGGCTTTGCATACCTTCAATTGTCCTCATTTTAATACTCGGGCTATTGTAGTTTTAGTGAAACTATGTGGTTAAACTTGAGTTGGCTTTTTGCTTTAGTGAGCCTTTTGTCTGGCTTGTATACCTTGGACACATGGACAAACCACATGGACAGGCCATGCTGAGACAGTGGCTGGAACATAATGTTTTGGGCCATTAGTGAGGAATTTCTTTAGATGTGGAAGTATAACATTGGCTTTGACATGTGGCGAGCCTGGGGTCAAAGGTCAGGCCCAGTCAAACTATCAAGTAGTGTCACACTAATGACTTCTGCCCATGGGTGTCATGAATCTGCCTGCTGTCCAGCACTAACCTCTACATCTAAGACAAAAGATAAACACTTTTTATCACTTTTTTAGAGAAATGGCATCTTGCAGTTTACCATTATCATAATTGTATAATGTTAAACTGTTAAAAATTAACAGTATGAAACGTTTTTATTCTCTGTTCTGTAGGTCAATGAGGGCAGTAAGGCTTACCATGCCAACCTACAAGCTGGCGACATTATATTAGAGATAAATGGTGAAAACACCACACAGATGTTGAATGTGGAGGTCCAGAACAAGATCAAGAGCTCAAAGCTGCACCTGGAACTGCTGGTCGAGAGGTATGTTGTCATTTAATCAATGTAAAAAAATATAATAGGCTGGAACTGATTTGTATATTTAAACTTTTTCAAAACATTATATTTGCATCATTATTAATGTACTCTTGACACTCAGTGGTGATGGTAAGAACATGTAGCTACAGCTGCCATGGGGCTGTGTACTAAAGATTGACCGTGAGCAGGTTGGAGTTCACTGAGTAAGGTTACAAAACACAGACAAAAGGCATTAAGATGTTGTCCACAGTTTACTTTTTATCTTTTTGCACCTGTGCTTTTTGTAATTATTGAAGTAGTGCAAGTATGTAGGCAGTCAGTAGTTTCCTCTCCAGCAGCAGAACACAGAATAATGATGTTGGGATGCGTCTTATATCTGCTCAGACTGATTGGACAAAACTACACACTACTAGCTAAAACGGACACAGTAAAATTAACTAAACCTTAATTAGCTTAAAATATTGACCTAAACACTCCATAAAACAAACCCAAAATCAAATAATTATTGAAACCCCAACCAGCAGCTTTTTATTAAAGCGCTACTCTGCCTCAGGATTATTAGCGGTAAAAGGAAAGACAATAATAAATACAATAATATATATATATTTTTAAAATGAATCATGTGCAATATCTTTTTAAAATATGTTTTAAAGGTGCATTGTATAATTTCCATCAAATGCTTCAAATGCATCTTCATGTAAACCAAACCAGGCAAATTTACAGGTGAGATCACACAGATTACAGTCAGGATACATGTATTTCTAGGTAATTTTAATTGTAATTACTGTGAAATATTCCAGGCAGAGCAATGACATATCCATAGAGACAAGCAGGTGATGGACCCCGAACCAAAAAGATAACCAGTGCACCTTTTAAAAGTGCTGTGTGCTGTCAAATGTCCTATGTAATTATAAGTGTCTTGGTGAAGGGGGAAGATGCCGGGTGGTTACTTATTGGTGACTGACTGGTGGAAATGACAGTCTATGATAATGGTAACCACCACCTCATTCACATACCACATTCACACAGGGTGAAATGCCTTGCCTAAGGGCACAACAACTGCTATACTGAGATAGATTGGAACCATGACATGTTATCTCAAACATTACATTCTACCTCATAATGCCTGTTCTGTACAAACAAACTAGTGATCGTAATCAGGGGAAATGCCTGCATGTTTTCTTCCGGTGCTCCTCTTAAATTTGGCAGAATTGTGTGTGAATCATTTAAGCTGTTTGACCACTCTGATTTGCAGTCCATATAAATACTCACACATGATTAAAATGGCATCTGCCCTCTTTTGTAGTTTTCATACTCTAAATATTTCCCAGCATACCTCATATGTCTTCGTCGTGCTTGAACAAAGAACATTAAACCCAGCCCAGTATAAAGACATTGTGCCAGTCACTGTTCAGTGTTTTCAGATTGTTTAGTCTTTTGTCTCTAGGAAATCTTTTGTACTCACTGGAACTTGTTAGGCTGGTAATTGAAAACTGTAAGCATCATATTTTCCCATTTCACATCTGGACTGTGGACAGAGATGTGGGCATCACACAGCTGTGTTTTAGAGCAGAGATCACAAGCCTTTTCTGTTTGCAGCATTGTATAACAGAAGTAGATTTAAACATTGAAGACTGTATAATGAATATTTCTAGTCTGCATTTCCCGGGCAAATTTTTAAAGTATCCTTGGCACATTTAAGTAAATCACTTGAAATTGGGACCAAGTCAGTTGAAGACAACATTTTTTCTTGTTGATTCATTTCTTTCTAGAAACACAGTAATTAAATAATTTGTTATAATAGTTTGTACAGACTGGAATTCTTACAATGTAAACCTTTAAGAATCTCCCTGGGGCAGACTGACAGCATGCTGTTCCAGTGATCACTATGAATAGAGCTCTGAGCACCACTGTGCAGTATCTGTGAGAGTACTCCATCTCCCTGCTCAGTTACAGTCATTTTCAGTTAAGAACATGTCAAATTCAGAGCAAGTTGCTGCTGTATAAATCTATTTTTCCACAGGAGGACATGGGTTTGCTTCATAAAACATAAGACATCTCTATGCTGTGTAGCTTCAGCAGGAGAACTGTGCTTGTGAGTGATTTACCACAGGCATTTAGGCCTTCCTGTGAGCTTCATTACACTGGGCTCAACCCAGAGCCGGGCCGCCTCTGGCCCTGCAGCCAGGGGGCCACTGTGTTTGCATTGGCTCTCACTGCTCATATTTTCCCCTTCAAAATTCAGCAATGGCATTGCGCACAGAGTGAGCTTTATTTTTAGGTGCTGTAAAAAGCAAAGTAACATTTGGAAAGGGAAGACACCCCGCATAAATATTTCTAAAGCATGCTGCACAAGTTAACTTTCCACAAATCTTCCAAACCAATTATTTATACATATTTGTGTCAATACTACATGACTCAAAGCTCCTGTAGTTGAATATAAAACAGATTCACTATTTAGCAGTAGTTTCCTTTGTTTGAGTGATCTTAGTGTGCCTATCACACTTCGGAAGAGATAAATATACTTTATGATACTTACTGTAACCTTATGTCTCTAAAGCCCTGGTCTCTCTACTTTGCTCCAAACCAATGGTATCAAGTCTCCTGACCAACTCACTGGCCGCTTTCAGGTCAGTACCCCCAAATGCTTCTACGTCCTTCATTCATATAATTAAAATCAATATCAAAACCATGAGATATTTGATAATTAGCTGATTTATTATCCAATGCATTTTAGTAGTATAGTATTATCAACAGTTATGCCATACACTTTTGTCTGGATTTTACAGGAGTCTTTAATTGTGAGTCGTGACGAGAACCAGAACTACAGAGAGTCTCCTGGACCCTACTCACCTGACCCTCCTGCAAGTCCCAGTGGCAAAATACCCAACAAGAATAAGGGGTACACAATGTTAAGAGCTATTAAAACTGAATAGTGCTTTCTTTTCAAAGTTATTAATTAGATGTTACATTACCATATTTCAGGATAGTTGTTAAAGCTTTTGCTTCAGTCAGTTGTTGCTTACAGATATTTACTATTGTGGCTAGTATGTAAATAAACTATCCTTTGAAGATTTTATTTATAAAGATTGCTCAGCTCAGCAGGAGGGTCTGCTACCTACTTTCTAGGTTTCTATTGCTCAAAAACACATTAAGTCCTGAAAATCTGATTTGTAATGTAACATAGTGCTGTAACCTGCCTGTTTCCCTCGCGACAGATAATTTAATATATACTGTGGAACATTCTAGACAAAGCAATAACCTTTCCATAGTGACAAGCAGATGGCAGACCTTCCACTAGAAATGTTACGCAGTGCATCTCGCTTCAACATTTCAGCTATTATTTATGCTTACTTGCCACTAACGTCTGAAATAAAGTTGCATGATTAAATGTGTTGTAAAAGAGGGAAAACTGTGAGTTTAACCTGTGTAATAAAACCTCCAACAGCAGAACCAGGGCTGTGATGAGTCCACAAAAGGCCAGTTGTAAAGTAAAAGAAAAACGGACGTTAGTGGAGCCAGGGGACTGTACTGTTGGAACAAAGGAAATGCACAGGATATCACATTCCTCAGTTTTATTCACATTAACAAAAGGCTGCATAGAACTTTCACTCTAGCTCCACTGCATGGGTGTACTTTTATTTTGTACATTGTTAATCAATTCAGAGTATTTTTGAATAGCCCAAAATCACAACAGCAGTCGCCTCACAGGGCTTCACAAACTGTTTATTTAACCAACAGAAAGTAAGGAAATCAAACAATGAAGCACTTGTCAGTTTAAAAAAGAAAAGCAATCCAATCTTTATTTATGTTTTTTGTAATTATATTTTTCTGGTCAATCTTTTTTGTTTGATTCCCTCCCAAGAATTGGAAGAGCACTTATTTGAACTCTATTTGTTATCCACTCATGCCACTAACCCTTTTTTTTTTCTTTAAATCATTGTCTAGATCTTTTATTTATTGCTTTAAAGACATTTATTCTTGTCACTTTCTTCTGTGCATTGAAATAATTAAAATTTCCCATTGATCTGGTTTAGTCTACTGTAACAACACATATGTTTTTAATAAAAATTTTCCTCACATCATTTGTTGAATGCAAATGACACTACTACATTTTAAATGTAAGCTTTTCAAAACAATATAGTTACTTTTTTATGTTTATAACAATACAATGAGCAATGAAGAGTGATTTTTGTTAAGCCAATGTATAGTCCAGTTTGTTGTTTTATGGTGGAGACTTTTGGACTATGGGGAGAATTATAGTCTCTTCTGTTAATGGGGAAGTGCTACTCCAGCATTCAGTGTTAGCCTCCTAATTAACCACTTTCTCCTCCTTCTCCTGTAGGGTTCAGATGCGCTCATGGTCTCCTGAGGACAGAGGCCAAATATTGAGCAGACCACTGTCACAGGTTTGTTTATGTCTTCAGCAAAGCTCCCTTCTCTAAATTCTGCTTTGATTTGTGCTCTTATGCTTCTACATCTTTCTTTATGGAGGCATAATAGTCAGCTGTAGTCAAAAGGAAAGGGCTTGTTTTGTTCCTTGTATATTCTTCATAATGCCTTTACAAAGCAAAAGAGACAGGCACTTTGTATTGTACCTGGTGTTTTCTTAACTTATAATTGTGTTTAGTTTCAAATATCTGATTATCACACTAACTTCAGGAAGCAGAGAACATTTGCCATTTATGCAGCAGGGAGTGTATAAGCTCAAAGGTCAGTGTTTTAAAATGATCTGACATTCAACTGTTCAGCAACAAGGAGCCCTTTCAGTCAGGAAGTAAATATAATGTGTGACACCATATCATAACCTTTTAGTTGTCAGAATAAAGACTCCGTTAGCACTCATTAAAGGTGCATTATGTAACTTTTCTGGTGGGTGGTCTTCTGTCTGCCATTTTTGTAGAGATTATATGGTTTATCAAGAATATGGCATTAAAGCCATCTGTCTCGGATGAATTCAATTACATGAATTAAGTGATCAAAAATACCTAATAAGCAAGGTTGCCTTTTCACACATCTGATTTGTAACTTGACCTGGTAGCATCACCGAATTGTTTTCCTTAAGAGTTTATTTATAAGATAAACAAATTGCTACATTATAATTTATAATGTTATGCCATACTGTGGAACATTCCAGACAAAGCAATACCATGGAGACAAGGACATAGTGTACTCTCCTCCAGAAATGTTACATACTAGTAGTATACCATTATATAAAGGGTATGCCACTTCTTATTTGCTAATTCTCTCTTAGTGCAATGGGAAATGGTCAAATGTAGACTTGGGGTTATCAGCAGATGTTGGCTGAACTATATGTTCACTTATTTACCATTGCAAAAACAAAACCAAGAGGGGCTGAGCCGTCTGGAGACCTCCCCATGTTACAGATGTTGTGGGAAACTTTGTCATCAACTATTCCAACTATGCTCAAATGGTTCAAATTTGAGTCCCTATAATGACATATAGGACGACAGAGCAGTAAAAGAAATAACAATCAAGACCTTTTGTAATGGCTCGAGGAATTCCATCCATTTTTATAGCTTCTGGATAAGTTAAAAGTATGCGAGGGTATGAACTTCAAAACATTCACGCATTCCTTCTGTGAAACCCCAGCTGAGAAGATCCAATTTTAAAATATCTCATAGCGTATTTCTTCTTGTTCACATACAATCTTGAGTCCAACAGGACTGTGAGTCTTGTGTGCAGGCTGCAGGAGCACTGGTTTACATTTCACATCTTGATCTTTTTCAATCTGAAAAGTCTAGCCATGCTGTAACTCAGGCCTGTCATTTGGGTGCTATGATTATGTCCCACCAAACAAATATTACAACAAAACAGCACCAGGACAGTGACTTCAGTAATTTAGCGGTACACGCTTTGTAAACGACAATTAGATATACTGAACTATTATGTTTCATAATGTTATAGTGGTGGTGGGAGCAAAGAGGGGGACCACTGTATAGTTTATTGTGGGTGATATACTCTGACCATCTGTGCCACAATTGCACTGAATCAAATGTTGTCTTATGTAATGATTAACGACAGAAATTCTCTTGCCACAAAAATTCACAAGATAAAATTTCCACCAGATTGTGCAAACGTGCGGAGAATGTTTTCCCATGTTTTTACATTAGCTCTGGAAAACAGGGTAAAGTGTGGTGTCTTTTGAGGAGCCAAAAAGCATCAATATAAAATAAAATATAAAATTAAGATTATGAGACAAACTACACATTTAATTTATTATGTCAAAATTGTGTTTGTCTTATTCCCATGAACCCAATTTATTGTATTGTCTTGGTTAAAATTTCTCATTCCATTCCTTGTAAGAATATATAGTCTAACAGGCGCAGATGAAGCGCTGGATGCAAACATTTTGTACAGCCTTTTTACTAGGAAGTCTTTAAAGATAGTTGGGAAGAATAGGCAGGAAAAGGTCCTGATTTGGGTGCTTTGTTGTGTCAGAATAATGCAGTCTATTGGGCTCTAAGATGTATAGCCACAATGACAACAAGCCCCTCTGTCCATGCTGAGAGGTGCAGAGTGCTGCTGTATCAGGTGTTCGGTCTCACTGAAAGACCATTAAAAAAAGGTTTTCCGCTCTTGTTTTGGCTCTGAGAGTGAGGAAAGTGGGATGAGCAACAGGATCCCCCTTTTTCCACAGCGTTGGATATCCTGAGAAAATGCCTCGTACAATGGTGGCTGTGATAGCTGCGGCTGGTGTTGCTTTTCTCTTGCGTCACAGGCTTCTCGTTGTGTGCTGGAGATGGAGGAGACAAGGCTGAGGGTTTTTTCACACACACATCCTATAGAAGTTCAGTGGTATATTTGTTTTGTCAACTACGTAAACTTTCATGATAAAAGTACTCGCATTTTGCTTAGGACTAGATGCCCTGATGTATTACCTGTGCATAAGTCTACTAGCTCTGTGTGACTACTTGTTTACACGCTTACTCCTATGTTTAACTGTTGGTTTTCAGATAATGATTGTTAATATTTACCTAACCAAAAGAATACATTTTTTTAACCATCTGATTAATTGTGGCAGCTTCTTGCGATTGACTACCATTGTTTATGTTATGTGCTGCCAGCTCATTGACTAAAGGAAGAAAAGCAAAGGCGTCTACATTCCAGGAAGTGGGGCAAGTGATTGTATTTGAACTTGCTGGCACTGTCATGACTGAGAGCATCTGTTTATATCATCAAGAAGGGACCACAACGGGGCTGTGTTTTGACTATCGAAGCCAAAACCAAAACTGCTATTCACAAGACATGACCTATCGTGGGCCAGAGCACCAGCCTCTGCGTCTGGCTTTGCCATCGCTGCACTTTGAGGTTCCTGAGGCTGCCTAAGTGGCCTGTTGGATCCTGAGCTTCGGATCAAGTGTTTGTTTTAAAAATATTTCCTGCCATGAACCAGGGCCATGTCTCTCAATGTGACATTGTGGAAATCCTGCAGACCAATGTTTCCTCCTCATCTTAAATTTAGTGAGCAGACGGCAATGACATGTGTCACCGAAAAGGGACATTCTGCCTATAAGCCATACATCACTTTTTATTCCACCTCGACTGGCAAACCATCGACTGCAGTGACTCCACTGCAAAGTTGTGGTGATCTCTTGAAGAAGAAATAGACTTGGCATGAAAAAAATTGTCATAACTATTTAATTTATGTTTCAAATAAGGAAGTTGGATGCATTTCAATTGGCACAAAGTGATGTTAATTACTGAAAAGGCATATTTCTAAAAGGATACAGTGACATTTGGTATAGAGGTTTGCTTTAATGATGTTGATGAAGATACTTTGTAATCATGGTCTATTTCAAGTCTGACTGGATTGAGGCTGCTGTGGGGTTTGGCAGACAGTTGTGCTGCAGAGCTGAGCCAGTGTCAGGGGGAGTGGAGTGTTTTCTTCCCTGTGACCGGACAGAGGGAGGCCTTTTCACGTGGATTTGGAGTCATGAAGTTTGGTCTCCATTGTGACCATTACTGGGGTGGTGTGCCTCCCCTCATCCCCTCTGATAGATCAGCCATGCCTGTTTTTCTTTCCCCTGGAGTGGAAAGCCAAACTAGGGGCTTTTAAGTCCCAAACCGTTCCAAGCCCCCAGGCTAAATGCACACAGACAATTTAGGCCATTCTTTTTTTTTTTTTTTTGTTTTTTTGTTTTTTTGGAAGCTTTTGGCTGGAATATAATTAATTTTACTGTTGGTTACATTTACAAAAATGGTTGAGAAGTTGTTATCAAGGGAATAGCATAACACATTTTACTATGTTCTTTGCAAAACAAAATGAATAGTATATGACCTAGATGTACACTACATCACCAGTACTTCAGTAACTGTGTACTTTTGTGGCTCATAAATTATAACTGCGAAGATGACAAACAATCAGCAGTTAACCCAAAGTATTATATTTGCTATGCTGAACCATATACATGTACCAGTGGCATTTTTGATTTGCTGTAGCCATCAGGGGGAACTCTTATAGAAATATGACCACTAGTGTATGCTATATATTGTATTCACATGTAGTTTTATCTACATGTTTTACAGTGCTTTTATAAGATACAGATGTCTTAGGTTAGCTGTATTTCTGAATTTGTAGTAATTTAAACCTAGAGTGCATGAATGGGATTATATTTCTACATTTTAAATCCAAGTTTTCCAAATATGTCTCACCTTATGTATTTATGACCAATACACATGTAGGAATATAACGACATTGTTGCAACTGTTCTGTTCTGAATATCAAATGTTGGTCAATAAACTAAAAATATAATCCTTTTGGGTCATGCTGTAATGGTCACCAGATGTATGGTGATCTGGAAATGCAGTCAGAGCCTTGTGGAGATCTTTATAGGGATGAATAATGCGTTGCTTGTAGCTGCCATGTTGGATAAATAAACACTTGGCCTCATTCATTTTTCAGTGGATCTCCTGGTGGCAGTTTGAGTGAGTCCCTCCCAGGACCACCTACTGTACCATCACATGAGCTGGATTTGCCCTTTCCCCAGTCACTTCATTTTCACTGCTCACACATTTACAATTATCTGGGCATTATTGAACTGCAGAAATGTTAAGCAGAGTATAGGAACAAATGACTATCTATTTTAGCTAATCCACTTGTGGTTAGTTTGATTTGGTTAAAGAGATTCTAATTTCTTTTCGCGTTTATTATGGATATACAAAAATTAGCGGTCTGGAACTCTAGTGAATGAGTCCATTGTTCTATTAGAGTACAAAGTTTTGAATTGGTTAGAATGTAGTGTTTTTATTGCCAATTACAACACGCTTTACTTTGGATACCACAGTGGACGATGATGAGTTAGTAAGATAGATTTCATGTGATCAAAAAGCAATGATGCTATTTAAATTTTAACTGTTTTGATGCTAGATTGCCATATGACTAGTAAAAAAAAATACATTGTGCAAAGGTATGCTATGTAACTTTTAGACTGGGGGTGCGTCACCTGTTTGTTTCTATGGATATTCCATTGCTTTGCCTGGACTGTTCCACAGCGCGGCATTAAACAGCTCTACCTTACATTTATTTAATTACAGGTCATATGTACTACTAAACAGGCATTCTGAGTGTGAGTGAGCTTGCCTCTTCACAGATCTGACCTGTAACTTGGTTTGGTTTAGTATCCAGGAAGATAGAAATGTGTAATACCATACTATGAAACATCCCAGACAAAGCAATAACATCTCCATGAAGAAAAGCATATGATAGAACCTCACCCAGAAAAGTTCCACAATGCACCTTTAAGCCTATATGTTGTCTCACAGTACTATTTACATCTTATACCAAGTCAGTTAAATGCAGGAGGAAGGAAAACATTATGTAATAAAAAGGTTAAGAGAGCTAAAGTATTTTAATAGCCTGATTTTATATAAACAGTCATCCCTTGTGCTCCTGCTGTGCTTTATATGTTACAGTATGTGGACAGAGTAATGCACCATCATTGAGACATAATTATAAGGCAGTGTTTATCAGTGACAGTGGATAATGACTAGGTTGTTTTTAAGACCTCCTCCAATGAGCGCTGCCGGACAGGAACCACCGTACACACATTTGATCATTACCCAGCCCAAGACGACTAATGCCCCCTCTACCTCCTCCCCTCCTGCAACATTCAGGTCTGTGGTGGAGACAGAGAATTAGCAGTTAAATGACTTTCTTTAAGCATCCCAAAATAAAGACTCCTCCAGGCATTTCTAATGTCTTCTTGGCCTGTGCCCTGTAATTGAAGCTGCTGGGTGGTAGTGAGAGGTCTTGCTAACCAGTCCCATTGAGCTTCCACTGGCACCATGCATGCAGTCTCTCATCGACTTTAATCTGAAACAGTTGCAATATAACATACACTGGTGAATGGTGGGATAAGACATGTGTTAGGTGGAGTTGGAAACATGTCTATATTTTGTTGTTTTGATATAAACAGTTTTCATCCAATTCTGTGCACACCGCTGTGCCACAAAGCACTTCTCTGTTTGTCAAACATTCAGTGAGTAGCTGTGGTATACAATGCATTTATCTATCTGAATTTGGCAATAGAACTACATTGGCTTAAGTGTTTTGTAGCTGTCGTCTTGTCAGTGTAAAGACAAATGAGGCACATTTCAACTCTGTTTTCTACTGAAGGGTTTGCACTAGATTTTAATGGAAGGAATGATTGACTAAAAACACTGGTTCACTGCAAAGCCAATGTGCCACAACTGCAGACGTACTGGCTAAAGGAAAATTAGATTACTACATAAGAAGTAATTTTAGAGTTCTGAATACTAGCATGCTATTGCACACTCACACCAATGGTATGGCCTTAATGATCTAGGCCCTAGTGTATGGGTTGATTACAGTTCGGTTCAGCTTTAATCAGCGTTTCCTCTTTTTGACAGCCACAGGAACCAAGAAGAATTGGCCAATGAATTTCTTCAAATGTTTTTCCCATATCTAAAGAACTTTCGAATCCAAAACAAAATAATAGGCTTTGCTTCCTCTCTGATGTGCCCCTCCCATCGTTAACTTGTGTCATGTTCTCCAATTGGCACTGCTATGGCACAGCACACTTGCAATGAGCTCTAACCAAGTATAATCGTTCACTGGTCTAGTCACAGCAGTAACCAAGCCACAAGTGAATGCAATTTGTAATGTAATTTAAGGTTTCTTTGTTGAGGGGTGTTGGGTTGGGACGGGTCATAGAAATCTGTAATATTGTCTTAGAAAATAATAAAAAGTTAGTTAAATTGTTATTGTTCCAAACTTTTAACATGCTGGTCAGGAATTTCATCTAATGGTTTTATGCTTGGGGGCACCCTAATGAAGCAAGTATTCATTCAACCATAACTAAGACTTAGATCTTTTTTTTTGTTTAATGCCTATGAAATTGAAAATCCAGTGCAATCTGTATATGTTCTGAATGTTGTCATGATTTAAACATGAAGCCTGTTCGTTTATTACATTCCTCTGATGACTTAGCTGCAAGTTGTGGTATTGTACACACAATCCTGGAGAGCATAAGAGATTGACATCAGTCTGACTCTTACATAACATTGGCTTGTTGTGCATTAGAGTGGTTTTAAATGTACATAGTAGGAGGCTTCAGGTGCTGTAGAGCTCAGAAGCTCAAAAGCATGCATGGCTGTCATGTGTATCCCTTTGAGATTGTTTCACAGTGGGAGATAACATGGATGTCTTCTTTTGTCCTGTACTGACACAGTATGCTTGTTCTGCTCAGTCTGCTGTTATTATTAGTCCCATTTTTATCCTGGGAGCAGAGAATCCTCAATGATCATTTCTGGTAAAGTCTTCTTGGCATGTAGCTCTAATCTGCCCACTCACCAAAGGGAAAGAAGAGGAAAATTGGACCTGATTGGACCTGAACAGATACTTTGTTCAAAGACATTTCTGAATTGGAAGCAGGAGTTGGACAATTTCTGACTTCATCATTGCCACTGTGTTTGTATTGTCAAACATACCTGTAGGCAAATGTTGGTTATAAATGTTAGGAACTCACAATCTTGACATTCTCCAACAAAAAACACCCATTTGAAAAGACTCTTCCAGGTTTTCTAATTTATTTTCCAGAACTACTGGCCAGAACCCCTATTTAGGATATAGTGTATATTTAATTTTGTATTAAATTCTGATTCAAAATAACTGTATTATTGATACTTGATGTCTATTACCCGTAAAGGCTCATTGTGCCTGCAGGCTATGAAAACACAAATGAGAAAGCACAATTTCAGCAAATCTTAATGCCAGATAACTTTTTAAAGTGAAGCTAATCTGATAAAAATTTTTGGGATGTTCTTGTGTTATGGTTTGTGTAGGTGTATTTTAGTTCAGTGCCAGACAGCACAATTTGTTTTTAGGGATTCCTGACAGTTAAAATGTCTGAGGTGAGTTATGTGTTCCTCAGAGTCTGACCAGGTGTGCAAATGTGTGCCTGAGGTCGCTCTCACCGCCGTTTGAGTCATGATTAAATTTATCCAACATCAACCTTTGGCAGCCTTTGACTGCTCTGTCTGCCCTTTGGTATCATCTACTATAAAATACTATTGACACAAATGCTGAGCTTGACAAATCAGTGCTGAAAAGAAAGTCTATGGCGCCCTCTTCTGTCCTTAAACCATATTTCACAATGTAGTAAACTTTACACCAAACTTTCCATGTAATATAAATCATAGGAATATTATTTCTTTTAATTTAAAAATGTTATAACATAAAAAGTAATAATTAAATCTCAGAAGAAAGTAATTATGAAATATTAGACCTAATGCTCCTTATCCTCTTTGAGCACAGTTGTGGTGTTGATGCTGGAATAGTATTGCAGACACATGCTGATGTTTTGATTGCTGGAGGGATTAGCGCTGGCAGCAGCCCCAGAGGAATGTTGGGTGTGACTCATGCACTTGTGTCGTATTCTAATGTATTATTTAAACAAGGAAATATGATCCCTTTAATTAAAAGTCGTCACAGTGCATAGAAATTGACATTTGATGTAGTTGCTACTCTCCTTTTGAAAAATAAATAATATATTAATCTTAAAGGTACACAGAATAAAGGAGGCTCCACCACCTGCTTGTTTCCAAGGAGATGTTCTTTCTTTCTTTGCAAGTAATGTTCCACATTAAAATAGTCTCAGAGAGTCAAGAATGTGATGATGCCAGATACAAGTCAGATCTGTGGAGAGGCCACTCCAATCACTGTCAACGAAGAGGGTAGTTCTATCCAATTGCTTGACTTTGAGTATGGTTTTATTTTACAGGAGTTCTCTCCAGACTTCAGAAACCTCTCTGGATCCAGTCGAACTCCCACTCCTCCAGGACGATACTCCCCTCACAGCCCCACTGACCGAGATGTGCCCATGTCTCCACGGCGCAGGTAACATCCTCTGGCACAATAGTACAATACTTTAAAGACAGTTGCTGTGTTACTCAAAAGACTTTATTGCATAAATATTAAAAGCCACCAACTATGCCCTGGGAGCCCCATTGACAAATTAACTTGATGCCAGTAATAATTTAAGAACCAGCAAATCCCCTTAATTTGTGTTTATATATACATACAAAAATAATCTCACTAAAGGCTCTATAACAAATATATCAAAGACAAATGTACTGTGTAAAAAGCTAAAAGTCTATACTACAGCTGTATCTGTAGCATACATTGTCTGCTGTCAGGAGCTGTCAGGAACTCAAGAGCTTAGATCTGGACTTCTGCGTTTCTTTACCAGGTGAACTGATAATTAGCATTTTAACTTTTTAAATGAAGTGTTCCAATTTGTCTGGCCAGTGCTCTCTGTGATATTTGTGCAGCTGACGAGGGCTCATTGACTGTTTGCAGCTGCACTTTTGCTCCAGACATTACAATTATGTTTAAAGCTCTCAGGAAACAGTATATTGCATTTCCCACCTGCAGTGGCCGTTGCTGATGAGGTGACAGTCCAGCCTGGTCATTTGACACACGCTGCATGGTTTCAATTTACTCAGTGAGTGTTTTTTATTTTTACCCATATATTTTGCAAAGTAATACTAAAAGCTTTTGAAGGAGCTTGGACAAAATGATGGAATATTGAATCTTTGTCACTACACAGACAAGATTCACACGTAGATTCCTCGCTACAGTACAGGGGTATACAGGGGTTAAATTCCACTCTTTTGTGTCCAGAGATGAGAGGTAGGTAACTTTTCTTTACATTGCAGGATAGGGCCTGTGATTTGGTAGAAATCTGTGCCCTGTCTATTTTAGAAGGTAGGTGCAATTTTGCATGTATTTATTTCAATCAGTGACCCTCATCTCTTTGTTTATATTGAATATCTTATACATTTGATTATGCCCAGACTTAAATGTCATACTATGTGCCCAGTCTCTCTTGGAGAGCCTGATTTCTGTGTTTTCACATGGCAGTATAGTTGACTTTGGCCCCAGTCTCCCTTTGGGAATGTGAGGCCTGTGATATGACATGTCGCCAACTATAGTCAAATCCAAATACCATATTTCGCCTAAAAAGTCAGATTTCACTTTTCCCCCTAATTGGCCCCCAGTCCAGAGACCCTAGCCTGCACACAAAGCTTCTTCTTGCTTTCATTCATCCAATCAGAGACTCGGAGCCCCCCATGTGCCCGCCCCTTTGCACTGTCTAGCCAATCAAAGCTCACCCATGGGCACACCTTTTAGTCAGGCTATTGTTTTTCTGTCTGGTCCGCTGTAGATAGAGAGAGGTGTGTGTTCTCCATCTGTGCATGCTAATATTTGCCTCTTACACGCACGGAGGAGTTACTTTAGTGTTTGGGACAGCTGCATGAAACAGATCTCGTTTCTCTCTTTCTCTGAGGTGAGTAAGGCTGGATTTGTATGGCCAGGATGTACAGGACTGAGTGAGACTTGCTGTATAGATAGTTATTGCTTTGTGAAATGTGGTTGGAATTTAGCCTTCCGATGTGAAAATGTTTTGGCTCCTCCAAGAGTCTCCACTATCACTTTATCATTGCAATTGTACTTTCCAGTCTGGGCACAGAAACCACTAAGTTGTTTCTCAGATGCTGACGTTAATGCAAACATATTTAAAAGCTAAATTTTCCAGAGAACAAGTCAATATCAGATTTACAGCTACTTCTTCAAATGCCTCCATTGCAGACTTACTGTTTTTCCATTGACCCCCACACATATCTGTTTTCCTGTCAGTTGATCTCCATTTGTTTGGAGATTGCATGTCAGAGAGAGAAGTTGGACAAAACGAAAAGTGATTGCTCAGGGTGGAGGGAGCACTTCCAAGTCTGGTTTCAATTTAAACCATGTTCGTTGGTAAAAAGAAGGAAAAGGGACATAGACTGAAGTTACTGTACATTTTTTGCTTTGCTTTGTCCATTTTGCTATTTTTTATCAGAAAGTATTCGTCAATATGTCCGACCTCTGGATTTTTACAGAAGAAAACAAAAGACAAGTAATTCTACTTCTGCTTTTGTGAGGTCACCATGGGCCATCATCTGTCTGAGTGATTTATCCCTTATTTTGGCATTTTATGTATATTCCAACAGAGACCCTGCTTGGGTCTGGGAAAGTCACAACAATCAATCTGCCCTATGTTCTCCAGCACTTCAGAAATACAATCACCATGGAAAAGTTTCCTTCTGTTTTTGTAAACTACAATTATCACCTATTTACTAAGACCTGGGCCCCAAACCTAACCATCCATCTCCATAGAGCTCTTCACAGCACAGGTGTGGGCCTTAAGAGAAATATTTTTGCCATTCTTTGTTGAAATTCTGACGACAAGTGGGACACTCAGTCAGTTTAATTTGAGATGGTTTATATTTTTTCTTTTTGGCTCAGGTGTGGTTAAGGCTGTTGTTACCTGACAGACCAGTTTGTACTGATAGCAAACACTCAGCAGCTGCCTCCAGACACACTGACTGACACGAGAGCACTTGTATCTATTCACACTGTGCCTACACTGCTCCATAACCACACATGAGGTTTAGCTATGCTGTAAAACGTAACTACTTCCCACCACATGAGGGAGAGTTTGTCATTGCACTACTTTTACTAGTTTGTAAATGTGCAAATTGCAGACATGCTACGTTTAAAAGCGGCTCTGTAGGCTTGTGTTTACTTTGCATTTGACACAAACCTTCCTTCATTAAGTTCTTGATGCTATTGTGATGTGACCCACTGTATGTCAGTGGTGCTTAAGTAACATACAAATTTAGTAGAGTGAGCAAAAAGCAAGGCTTAACCCAGGACTGAACCAAGACTGAACCAGGCCAGGACTCCACCAAAACCTCACCAACACCAAATCAGGTCTAAAGCTGTTTAGCTAATTAAAGCATGACTATAACCTGATCACCAAATCTCTACAATGACAGTAGAAATTTCAAATGTCCAACTGTGCATATTTTGCAAACAGTTACCTTATGCTCTCTATAAAACTTTTTTAAACTTCCCTCCATGCCATTGTAGGTTAGGTTAGTTTATTTGCAATTTGTAGTGAAAAACAGGCCACAGATCCTGAATCTTTAGAGGTGTCTCACAGTTGTATTTCAAAGTGGCAAATGTCTTGTAATGTATGTTTGGTGCTTAATTCGTAAAACATGAGTGTAGAATAGAGGTGACTGGACAGTGACCCTTCTGTAGCAGGGGCTGAGTACACACAGTCTGAGACACACACGTTGACCCTTCGTGATTGTACTTAATTAAACACACATGTTCCTTTTAAATCCCTCCTAATGTAATCACCATTTAATCTTGATGCAATTATAGTTCTTCCTGTGTCATGTTTGTATTTTGTCCTTTTGTTTACAATAGTTCCGGCTCTGACTTTGCCATGCAGAGGTTTGACAAAGACTCAGAGGTGTACAAAATGATCCAGGAGAACAAGGAGTCTCGCACTAATCCACGACAATCCAACACCTTCAAAATGCTGCAAGAAGTGCTCGAAGCTGATGAGAAAGGTTGGCTTTAGTTCTGCTTTTTGTCTGCTTATTACAATAATGATAATAATAATAATAATAATAGTAATAATAGTAATAATAGTAATAATAGTAATAATAATAATAATGTATAACTAGACTACACTATATAATTTATCAGGTCTAAATGAGGGCAAAATATAGTGTAAAATAAGACCAAACCAAGGAATAAGGTAGATAGGTAAATATTAAGTATGTGTTTTATTAAGAGAAAAATCTACTAAAGTCCAGAAGGCCCCGCATACCACCGATGACACACATACCACAGTTTGAGAATCACTGCTATGATAACACAGCTATGACAATGATAGGAAAGTCATGAATGTATTGTGCAGTTCCTCTCTAATCATGTTGCATAAAGGTCATAGCCACTCCCCTGTCTCTTTTCTGTATCACTTTGATTGGTTTGAGAAGAAATAATTCAAGATAAGACAAGTATTCCTTCATGACACAGTTGACCAATGAGTGAAAATCAATCTGAGACATTTTTCATTACCAGTGGGATCCAGTACCACAGAATACTGTTCCTGTCTGAACCTTTTTCAACAGTTCTGTGCTTTTTTTTTCAGAGGCAGCGCTGAGGTTCCCAGGAAAACTTTCTCCCAACCCACCCAAAACCAGCTCTGTGGGTGGAGGCATTAAACACCACACTTGTGAGAAGTGTGGCACTAGCATTACGTAAGTAGTAGGCATCACTCGGTACATCTGCTGCACTTATATTAAAGCTAGATTTGCTGCTTGAGGGCTGCAGCTTATTTGACTTGAAAATAATGTTGTCCCTCCGATTTTGCTTGTAACTAGTGGCAGTAACTCACTTAGTAGATGTTTGCCCACTAACCCAAGGGTTGCTGGTTGCTGCTACTGAGATTGCATTCTGTCAGTGTCACTTTACCCACCTTGTCTGTGTCTTGCGTACATTGCAGTATAAATGTGTGAGTTTGGATAGGCCAGAAATAGAAAAGTGTTGTAAAACTGTATTAATTTCTCTGATGTATCCGCACAGGACACAGGCTGTGCGCATCATGGATGATCGTTTTCGCCACCCAGAGTGCTACAAGTGCTCAGACTGTGGATTGAACCTGCGGATGAGAGGGCACTTCTGGGTCGACGATGTGATGTACTGTGAGAAGCACGCCAAAGAGCGGTACCATGGGCCTGGCCTACCTTCTCATTATTGAGCTCTTACCCGGCCCAAAGGACACAACAGTGTTCAGCCCTAACAGAACTAAGAACCTATGGACAGACACAAGGGTGGACTATCAATGACATGCCAATGGAATTTCTTTCTTGATCACTTTTTTGCTGTATTGTATTATGATTACTTTTCTTGCTAACTATCAATAGTATATGACCCAGTCTATATGGTTTATAAAACTCTCTCTATAGATGCAAAATGCCCTTGATTTGCAAAACTTTGAAGATGCCAAAACCTTGAACAAACTTGTCTGGACTGGTCCCTAACAGTTTGAGGCTCTGATTAATTAGATGGTACTGGGTTAATTAAATGGGACCAAACCTTATCTATTGCATGCCATCAGGGCAGTGTTGTGTGGGGTGGTGGCTGTGTAGAGATACATGCTTTTACACGCAGAGGTGTCAGAGCCTCTGCATGCCTTCTTAACAGCTGCATGACGCGTGAGTGATCTGGGTCCAAGTGAGCTAATGGATGGTTTATTCTGTGCCTGAACAGGCTAAAATAAAATTATTAGACTTCAGATAGGCAATACATGTTGTGGTTAGAAATATAAAAGAAATACAGACTTATGTTTATGAGGGATTTATAAGATGTTCACTTGACAAATAATTTGTTTGGTTATGAAAATGTTATTTTGTATAGACCATGCATAACAGGACATTCACTGTGAAGTTACAATACACAGGTCCAGTTTGCAGCAGTATCCTGAGATGACCTTGTTCACATTTAATGTGGCACTTAATAAATGATCTAAAGTCGTTGCAGTGTGGTGCATATTGTTTATGCGTATTGTTCTGTCACGTTCATTTCTTCAGCAGCCAATGGGCCTAAAACACAGAGGTGTGAGCTATTAGTCTGACTGGACAGTGACTGTAATGTTATTGTGTCCTGATTGGGAGCAGCTGTGCTGTGGCTACACTTGTAAATGTCATGTGGAAACGGGGTCAAACCACTATGGGAAATGCTTCAAGAACGCTACAACTACAGGTAAGTGCTGCAGTTGTTCTTTCCAAGCCAAGGCCTATAGGCTATTTAAAAGGACCTTTCCAGAAACGCATTTGCGTTTCATTCTGGTGAGTACATTAAGATAAAAACTCGTGAGTGCACGTCTCTATTAATGTCACTGAGCAAGTCACTGTAAGTCTTCAAGCATGTAGGCCTTAGATACTGCCAACAGAGGGCAGCAAAACCACAGATCACAATCACGTCCACAACCAAATCTGCAGTCAAAATCCTCTGAGAAAAAGACTTGCTGTATATTCTAGAATGAAATGAATGAATGAAAACGTTTACATATATTTCCACTTCCTTATGGTTTTCGGAGTGTGGTGTTCTGGTGTCACTCTAGATGGCGCACTTTATCCAGTTTCTCCTGTCGCTTCCTGTAAGGACTTTCTATTTTTCTTGCCTCTACTATTGCACTACAATGTATGTACTACGTTTTAACTCTCTAATGTGCATTTTTATGTGCTCTTCTATAGCTCTGTTACTGTTACTTACCCACTGTAGCCGCAGGCTTTTATCATCAATCTCAAATCTCAGTTGTAGCCTACCTCACTTTTTTCCTGTATCCTACCTGAATGGGGTGCAGATGTGGATTTAGGGGAGAACTAGAGAAACTGTTGCTTGCCTTTAGGGAACTGCACAGGGCTGTAGGGTGCACCAAGAAAATGTTGGAAGCGCATTAAAGTTTGTCTGGATGTGATTAAGTACAATTTGATGTAATGTGCTATTTGGGACGTGACATTTCAAATGGAAACTGCGCTCTCCAGATGAAAATGATTTAGGCCCGTGTAGACGGAGGGGGTGTTGTACTTGAAGCTTTATTTAACAGCTTGGATAAACAGCTCCGCGTTTCATTGCCGGAGCGGGCGTCCTTCCACTTCTTGTGCTTTCTTTCAATAATCACACTGGCTCCAGAGCGCAGTATCATGTACAGGAATAACAATCCAGCACAAGGCACCATTATATTACTGCTACGTTTGAGGTACCCCCATATTAAGTATGACTATGAGTGCATGTCAAACCCAATCGTCTTAGCCCCTTTTCAAGAACATTTTTCATTCATCTTCTAGTATTATGACTCTCTTTCCCCGCTCCTCTCCTTTTCCCCTGCTCAACTATCAAAACTATTTCAAACTTAGATCTGGGCAGTGAATGTTCCAACCACAAACTGGTGGTTGGCAAATCAATGAAAGCAAAGACTGTATAGGAAGTTTATATAGCTATAGAATTTTGAGATGTGTGTGGCTCTACAGACTCAAAACTTATGGCTTGGCTATGTCCATAAATTCTGCGGCTGGATTTGAAGTTAAAGGAATTAATAATTTTTGTAATTATAGAAATGTAATGTTCGCTCAACAAATCAAGCAAGCAATAATGTTATTACTGTAAACGATTAGGTTGTGATTAGTTTATGTCGAACCTCATATAGTCAACTTATGTGCTCGGTCTCTAGCCTATTAGGGGATCATTTATCGATCTGTTCTTTAAACGTAGACTAGTTAAAAAAAAAAAAATCTAAACTGTTCTTCAAACAAGTGTCGGAACCTCTGACAACTGAGCCTTTCATATCAACAGTTACGCACTTGCACTAAAGTGACAGAGGTGGGCTTGGCGCAGGTCACGTGACGTCTTTCCCTGAGTGTCCTGACATGGATGCGCTAGGACCCGGGGACCATACGCTCACCCTCCGACGGAATGGGCGCACTTGGGCTGTAGTTTCTTGAGTGAATAGCGGTGTGACCGGGACAGAGGCAAAGAAATCCGCTACTTTTGGAGCATAAATCTTAGGACATGAGAGAAAATTTAGTTTTCTGTTTTTGACTTCTCGTGTGATAAACTTTCGAGAGTTTGTATTTAGAAGGGAGTGGATAACGGGCCTTGAAGAGTTTGCGACGCGACTGTCAGACGTTTTGTTCACTCCAGGGGACACTGGATGGGACGTGTGAGTCGTGGGACCACTTTCAAAAAAATAAAAAGTTTTCGTGCGTAACCTGGATGTGAGTTCATAAAACTTTTACACTTTTGGATTATCCGTTTTGAGAAGACGGTGTGGCTGCTGCAACATAACGGAGAGAGTGAGAGTGAGAGAACAGAGTTTCAGTCTGGAGATATGGGATGATGACCGGAGGAGGGGGTGCAGCTGAGGTGTCATCCAGCCCAAGGACAATGTGTGGCATCCCCGCGCGCCTGGTGCTGATGCTGCTCCTCTTCGCCCTGCCTCTGGAGCTTGGTCGGTCACAGTACGTTTGTCCCGGGCCCATCGATTCCACTGGGGGCTGCAGCTGCACGGAGGAGCGCTCCAAAGGCCACGGTGTCCCGGCGCTGGGGAGAAGAGTGAGCTGCAGCAAAGAGGAGCTATCTGAGCCTCCGGATCCCACTCTGCTGCCTAACAAGACCGTCACTCTGTAAGTTGATATTAACTTTTACTGTTAAGCAAAAATGTTTAGTTTCTTCTTTAGTTTCCGTTTAGTAATTTATTTAGAGCCTACTCTTGAAACCTTCCCCAAATGTGGTGCTCAATCACAGTTACTCTTAAAAAAACCTGGTTTGATTTCTATAGTAAACAGATTTAATTTATTGACAAAAAAAATGCATTTGTCTTTCTTTGTTTGCTTGCTTCTCCTTATGAGTATTTGGTTTGTGTGCAACAGAGGTTACTTTGAAACACTGCACCAGGCCTTCAGTGTCATCCTTGTTGCATATCTGTGACCTCACAATCGCAGTACTCAGGACTTGTTGCAGTAATCTGGCTTGTGGGGTCAGAAGTTTACATCTTGATCTAGTTTTGACTGAACCAGAGCTGTGTGTGTGTCTCCTCAGTCTTTATACTACACTGGGAGAGATCATTGCAAGGGCAGGCCACTGTAGTTGTCATTTTGGTCCTGCCTCTTTGACACAACTCTGTCACTTTAAATTTCACTCACTGTTTGTCCCACCATTGCTCCTCTCTCTGTCCAGCTGACACCCTGAGTTTGTAAAAATAGAAAAAATATTTTAGTTCTCAAGCCCTTTGTCCTTGACTTGCTTCTGTCAAAAAAACAACAACAAAAAACTCCTCCATTATTTGCCTGTAAATCATGTGCTGTCATTTTCATTTGGCCAAGGGTTTACACCGGATGCCCTTCCTGTTTGGGACTGACAGATAGTACTGTGATCCTCCATGACTAGATTCATACTGCAGAGTTACTACTTCATTAATAATGATATAGATACCGTCATTAGCCAAAACACATTAGTGGATGTAATAAATAAACTAACTATCTCTCAGTGACACATTTTTCTGGGTGGTGTTTTCTCATTGGAATTTAATTTTGTCATCACTTTGGTTTGCAGCTGCTCTGACTTTAGCCAGTTCCCACACAATGTCACATAGTTGATGCTTTGACTTTCAGTGGGAGTACAACACAACAGTACATTTTCAAAACATGTTGGCCTTCACAAAATCTCCTTACGGATCAGGCATCTGAGGTAAAATGGGGAGATTTGTGCCCCGGAGAGCCAGCCTGCATACCATTTATAGAGTCTTGTGTCTTTCATAATAACATCAATATACACATCTGGCAAACACATTGTCTTGGAGGCACAGGAGAACATCCACATGGATTGAATGACAATGCAGTTCATTAAAAATAGCAAAAAAAACCCCAAAAAAACAAACAAACAAAAAAAAAAAACGTCGGATCTTGCTCTGATGTCCGCCATTTTCTTTACCTAGATTCTTTATTTTCCCCACAAAGTTTCCCCATGCAGTGCTTTTGTTGTAGCTCTCTGCATTAACTCCAGATGTGGAATGTGGGAAGCAGCACTGATATTTCTGTTATTCCTGACATTCCCGAGTCAGGCTGCACACACTATCTCACACGGTACCGTGGTGGTCCACACCTGGGACCTGCCCTGTTCTGGATCTGCGCTCATAGCTGCCTTTGGTATCCTCCTCTGTGTATTACTGAACACTGGGCTCCGTGCAAGACATCGGCGCAGGCTTCCGGGCGGCTGCTCAGTGTAATGCACAACAGCTGGCCCCTGTGAACATTCCAGCTGAGGCCCCTTAGCCTCATGGGAAATCCCAACGGGGTTTTGTTTATTAAAACTATTAGTTAGCCTGTTTGTTGTTCCTGCCAGCCATAAAGAAGCAACCAGTTGCTCCTATATTCTCACCTTTTCGGCACTTGGGTTGGCTCTTGGATTATGTAAAGTGAAGGTGCATCTTGGTCATCAGTTTGACACTATGTTGTCGGTGGAATCGATTTCAGCTTTTTGACTTTTTCATGTCAAGCACCACCTTATGTTCCATCCAACCTTGTACATGTAATTACAAAATGCTGGAAAAATCCAATACCAAATAAGAACCAGACCAACAAAGGTCTACATTGTTACAAAATACAAAATCAAAATCAGGGCCACTCTGAACCAGGTGATCACTCAAAACCAGTATGGAAAAGCTTACAAACTGAAGTAAACCAGAACAAAATCAGGTTTTAATCAGGACTAAACCAGCTCCTAGTGAGGTCATGTGAATGTATGCAAACCTAATTGGACTCTGATTTTCAACTTTAAATACAAATTTGATAAAAAATATTTGAAAACTGAAGATCTACAATGCTATTGTCTAGTGTGAATTTCTTTCTTTATCTCCTTTCTTGCTCCCCTTTCTACCTCTTTCTATCATGAGTTCATCCACACACAGTAACTCTCAACCTAAATATTTAGTCGTCTTGGTTGGAAACTGCCATGTCCAAACTCTTTCCAGATGTGAGCCTGCGCACAACCTTGTGTTTAGGGCTAATTATGCACAGCCCGCGGAGCTGAATCACAGAGAGAGGAAGAGGAAGGGAAGGGAGCAACCGATAAGAGTGTGAAAGTTAGGAAAAAAAGTGGGATTTTAATGAAGGAAATACTTAAAGAAGTCAGCAGAGGAGGTAGGAGAAGTGGTTAGGGAACAAAGAGAGTGAACAAGGATGGATGGAGGAGGGAGAGGAGACGCTTGGCAGGCGCTTCAGAGAGATGTGCCCCCAGAGACTGAAAACTCCCCACATCTACAACAGTGGGGAGAGGAGGAGCACAGCAGCCGCGCCATTCAAATCCTGGGAAAATGTCAAGAAATACAAACTTTATGAAGATTGGGACAAGTTCTTACAATTAGTGTTCTAACCCCAAAGTCTCCTCAATATATTGCCAGTTACCATGTCACAATACATGTCATGGTGCCAGAATTTACCAAAGGCATACATTAGTCTCAGCAAAACCTTGTGATTTGTTTCCAACCCATACATTTTATAATTTATTATTTTACATATCAAAATTCATGAGCTACATTAATATTGTTGACTTTTAAAGCTGCCCTTTTCTGGTGGAGGGTCTGCCTCCTACTTTTCCCTGTGTGAGATGTTGTTATTATATTATATATACCATAATATTATGGTATTAAACCTTTTCTGCCTTCTTGGAGACCAAACCAGGCCAAGTTACAGGTCAGATCTGTTTAGAGGCAACCCCGCTCACAGTCTGAATGCCTGTTTCTGAGCAAAACCACTTATAATTGAATAAATATAAATTAGACCTGTTTAATGTCATACTGTGGAACATTGCAGGGCAATGACATCCATAGAAACAAGTAGGTGATGGATCTCCAGCTGAAAAGTTAAATAGTGTACCTTTAGGACAAGTAATATTCACCCTTCATATAAGTACAGATATATTTAGTGTCACTAGTCCACCTGTTGCACATTCCCTGTTTAGTGAATGGATTGTACAGAAAGTTATTTGCTTTTAGAGTGTGTTTTGCCAGTAGTGACTTATGTTTAGTTTGAGGAGTGCCATTGACTGGGTTTAAGGCTGCTCCTGCCCTGTCCTTGGCTGATGAACCTTTGTCAGAAACAGCTGCAGTGAGGACTGGACATTTGCTTCAAGCATTGTTGCACTTGAGCCAGAAATGCCAGGGATGTGGTCTGAAAGACAATGGTTGTAAATAGCAGAGTCACTCATGTGCCAGCCTTGTAGTGGTGTTAGTGTTACAAGTTGTGTTGGTAGAAAAAAATTGTTAAAAAAAACTACTAGATACTTAAAGGTGCACTATAAAACCTTTCTAGAAACTTTTGTGGAGGATCTACCGTCTACTTGTCTCCATTATGTTACTGCTTTGCCTAGAAAATTACCATACGGCATTAAACTTATCTAGCCTATATGAAGAGTTGACACCACTCACCAAAAATACATGTTTTTCAAGGTAGTTTTTGTTGATGTAATGAATTAAACACTTATAAATAATAAAAAAAAAATCCAGGACAGATCTGTTTAATGACATACTGTAGAATATTTCACACAAAACAATAACATCTGTACGGAGACAAAAGGTTGCAGAAAAGTTACATAGTACAAATTATTATGAGTAATATAGCATTGTGTTAGTGTAAGTCTTGGTATTTGTCATTCCTAAAACTATTATAACTCAAATATTTGTCAGTTATAGTTTCTTATCAGTCTACTCCCATTTTATTGCTGCTCTCATCTTGATGCTGTGTATCTAATGGTGTTGGCAGGAAACTGAACCTCTTTGAAGATAACCAGCGATTGCCTTATTTTTCTTACCACAAACGATCACTTATTCATTTTGACCACTACCAAAAATCTGTTTTCAATTTGATGGGTTGCTAACTTGCTATCTCATTTCTGTCATGGCCCAATCACTTCACCAGAATAATCTATTGACCAATGAGTCTTTAATCGACAATCTAATCTTTTGAGTCACATGGTGGTTGTCAGATGTGGAGTGAGTGGGGATATGCCAAAGAGCAGCCAGATGTGTCCGTGGTTTACGTTTGGGACAGGAATGACTTTCGATGACACGTCCAGAATCTTATCAGGGGGTGGATTCCAGTGAGACAGAGTTTATTTATGTGAGTTTAGGTGTTGAGAGGAGTAGAGAGGGACTGTAGCTGTCTCTCCCCCACACATGTTAGGTTAGGTGGGGCAGCGGTCAGCAATAAATCAAAAAAGCAAACAAAAGCATGACATATGATCTAGGAGCTTTCTACTCAGCTGCAGCACCTGCCCATGCCACACAACTCCAGGGTTTTGGTAAAGGTCAGAGAAACTGGATCAGAGTGGGACATCTCTGCTCAATAACAGGTCTTGAAAGCACATATCACTTATCACCTCATTATGTTTGTTGATTGAGAGTTAGTACAGTTTGGGGTAAAGAAGGATATCTGTGTTGTTTTTGTAATATCATTCCCTCCAGAGGATCGGTATTATTATTATAGTTTTTTCTTTTGCTCTGCTTTGTCTTATCTTTCTCCAGAAATGTCTGACTTTGAGTTTCCTTTGCCAGAACTTCCCCCTTCCTCAGAGCTGACCGCAGCTGCCCCTCAGGTTCCTGTCCGGGTCAACAGCACTGGGGCTGCAA